GTTCACATGTTGGTAGAACTTTGGCAACACTGTCTTTAAGTTTGCGTGGTTGAAGTCACCGGCTTTTATGAAAAAGCCATCATGGTTATTTGTCTGTTGTTCGCTGATGGCGATGTACAGCTCGCGAAGCACATCCTTAGCGTTTGCACACGGGGGGGGAGTGTAAACTGCGACAATAACAATGGCCGTGAACTCCCGCGGCAGATAGAACGGTCGACACTTCACAAACAAACTCCACCAGCGATGAACAGTGTTTTGTCACTACCACAGCATTGTTACACCACTCTTTGTTGACGCACACACACAAGCCACCCCCGCGAGTCTTACCAGACAGTGCTGTATCTCTGTCCGCTCGGTAGCAGGTGAGTCTGTGCAGCTGAATAGCGCAGTCCAGGATATTGTCGTTTAACCATGTTTCGGTGAAAACAAACACACAACAATCCCTTGTCTTATGCTGTGTAGACCGACTGAGTTTAATTAAGTCCAGTTTATTTTCCAGAGAGCGAACGTTTGAGAGCATGAGCGATGGAATCGCTGGTCTAGTGGGGTTAGCCCTTAGCCTAGCTCGTGTGCCTCCACGCTTCTGTCCCCTCTCACATCGCCGGCATCGCCGTTTTGTGCGGGTAGCATCAGTAGGCGAGGCCGCGGTCTCGGGGTTCGGCTTTAGCAACAGAAAGAGGCCTTGTAGCTTCTCAGTAGTCACCGGCGAAAGCTGTTGGTTGTACTCAATGCCGATTTCCAGAAGGCTCTGTCGATCATAGATGTGTTTCTGAGTGTTTATCTGATGATTTTGCGATAAGGTGAGACTGTTTGAAGACAAGGAAACGAGACTAACAGACATAAAAACACAGTTTTTGGGACCCGGAGTAGCCACTGCGTCCGACCGCGCCACCATCTTGGATTCACCCCCCGGAGCCGTGTGAGGCACTTTTTATTATGGATGGATGCACTTTATTGGACTTCTTTTGGACTGTCGAACAGAAACAACCGCCCACTGCCATTATAAAGCTTGGAAGAGCCAAGACAATTTTTAATATAACTCCGATTGGATTCGTCTGAAAGAAGAAAGTCATATACACCTAGGATGGCTTGAGGGTAAATAAATCATGGGCTAATTTTCATTTTTGGGTGAACTACCCCTTTAAGATCATGCAGAGTTTTTTGACCCCTACACCCTTCATCTCTTCAAAGCTCTCACTCCGGAAGGTAAACCCTTTGAAGGGATTAGGGCATAGGGATTAGCCCTTCCTGAATGAATCAGCCATTTGAACAAATCAAATGAATGCATGACTCATAGACACATTTACCGCCACCTGCTGGCAGTTTTAGTTTCTCATTAAAAAAAATTTAAAAAATAAAAACAGAAAATTAAAGGGATAGTTCACCAAAAAAAATAAATTCTGTCATCATTTACTCACTCTTTAAAATGACGCAGAGTTTTTTTGACCCCTACACCCTTCATCTCTTCAAAGCTCTCACTCCGGAGGGTAAACCCTTTGAAGAGATTAGGGCAGTGGTTCTCAACCAGTGGCCCGTCACAAATTCAAATGCGGCCCACCATGCTGAACACAATTTAAAAAATAACATTCAGTTTTACAATTCATTTTAGTTTTTACATTAATTAAAAAATTTACTATACAAATATAAGCTATAATGTTTTTGTTATGTAAAATAATTTTGTTTTCATATATTATTTTCAGACATGAGCAGACCTGTACTCACGTAATTGACGTTACGCATTTAACGAACACTTACAAGCGCACACTTTGGCAGAATTCATTTCAAATAGTCATCAGTAGCCATTAGTTCGGTAAAATTGAGCATCAGAATGGACACATTTGTTATTAAGGGAGAAAAACGAAATGTGGAAAATGCTAGCGAAGGAACACAAACAAACAATAGTAGTCGCAGCAGTGAAAGTAAGAGAGTGCTGGACTTTCGGTTTGCCCCACCACTCACTCGAAGATGTACAGGCTAGAGCCCTGCACGGGCCTCAAATACAGGTGCATCTCAATAAATTAGAATGTCGTGGAAAAGTTTTATTTCTTTTTTTTTAATTTTTTTTATTTCAGTAATTCAACTCATTGAAATAATTTATTCAGTAATTCAACTCAAATTGTGAAACTCGTGTATTAAATAATACACAATGCACACAGACTGAAGTATTAAAATAGTTTAGTTTTGTATGTAATGACAAAGAGATTATACTTTGTTTTGTTTTTTTATGAAGTTAATTTAGAAAACGTTTGGAGCATTTTTTGGTCGTTAAATATAAGTTTTTGTTTTTTAAAGTAACGAACAAGCGGCCAGCGGCAGACAGTGAGCTGATCATAGCCTATGTTTGATCAATTTAGCCTTCTCAAATCATCACGACTTGCCTAAAATAACAGTTCAAGCATATAACAATGTTTTAACGTTAAACCCAGATAAATGTGCGCTGTATCCAATAGTTTGTGCGGAGAGTGGAAGCTTAAAGCGCGCTTTGCAGGACATGGAGGCGCCAGCGAGATCACTTGCATTTTTTTCAGTGGATACGCCGTGCGCGCTTTGTAGGACATAGAGGAGCCAGCGCGATCACGCATTTTTTTCAGTGGATACGCCGTCATTTTTGCTCATAAAGGTAAGAGTAATACATCATTCGTAACTGTAAAGGGTCTACTTTTATTTGTGTGCACTCACAATATCAACAAAACGTTGTGCTTTTATAAAATAAAGAAAACAAACATGATGTGCTTTCTGCCGTCTCGTCTTTAACAGGAGCGCTTAACAAAAATGAACCGAAACTCAGTGAATACATGCCTCACAGACATGATATATATATATAAATATATACATATATATATACAGAAAGCTTTAAATTACTACTTAACAAAATAAAACAAATAAAAAACAAAAACTCTTTCAGTATAATCATAATCTGTAAAGAGATGCACTTCTCTCTAAAGGCGCATCTGAGGAGATGGCGAGTCAGGATCGGCAACTTCATTTTGCGACACAGACTCAGAAAACACTAGTTTATTAGTAAATAATTCAAATATCTCCTTATTATTTCCTCCTGACACATTCATGGTAATTACTTTTGCTGGTGCTATTGCGTGCATTTGAACGCAGATCTCTTCAGCTGCGCTGACGACACGCACCATTAATGCTGCTGCTGGACACTAAACACCGTCGAGCCACTTTGACAGTCACGGTAGCACGGTCTCGTGTTGTTTCCACCAGTGCAGCAATATATATTTTTTTTTTCATCACTAATTGATGGATGTCTAAAATATACAAATAAGGAGAAGCCTAAAACAAGCCCGATGCCCGGCTCACGTGCTAACTATGATGTGAAAATTGTCCCGAAGCCCGGCCCTAGGGGCGTACAGGGTTCGTACACATTTTTACCAATGCATTTCCATGACTTTTGAGACAATATTCATGACCTAAATGTTCCATTATTTTACAATAGGAATAAAAATCTGTTCAAATTATCATAGCATATGCTAACTAAAATGAATGACTATTAATGCTACTCGTTTGCTTACTTGTTTTAGTAATAAGTACAAGCTGCAACTGCGCCAGACCTTACTCCACATATAACATCACTGAATATTATCATACTGGATTAGGGCATAGGGATGAGCCCTTCCTAAATCAATCAGTCATTTGAACAAATCAAATGAATGCATGACTCATAGACACATTTACCGCCACCTGCTGGCAGTTTTAGTTTCTCATTTAAAATAAATAAATAAACATTAAAGGGATAGTTCACCAAAAAAAATTCTGTCATCATTTACTCACCCTCGTGTTGTTTCAAACTTGAATTACTTACTTTCTATTGTGCAACATTAAAAGAAGGTATTTTTGACGACCAAGAGATATGTTTATAACCAAGCTGTTTTGGTTACCAGTGACTTTCATTGCATGAATAAAAAATAAAGAGAAGTTTCTCAAATTATCTTCTTTTATGTTCCATCGTTTATGTTAGGCTGTTGTAGCCTAAACGTTTATGTGTGATAAATTTTATGTTGAGTCAAGTTAAAGATTATTTTCTAAAACTACTATTTGTAATGTCTACTTTCTCATTTAACACAATAATATCTTTAAATAATCTTTTGTGCATATTTTCACAGCCAAATTTAGTTTGAGATTAATTAGGTTAATTAATCGCCACACCATGTAATTAATTAGATAAAAATTTTAATCGACTGACAGCCCTAGTTTGTTGGTAGCATGGTAGCATGTTTCAGCACATTGTTAGCATGTTGCTAATAGGTTTAACATATTTCTAACGTGTTTAGCACTTGGTTAATGTGTTTTAGCAAATTGTTAACATGCTGCTAGAATGTTTTAGTATGTAGCTTGCATGTTTCAGATAATTATATACCCTTTGAAGGATGCAGACTTCAAAGACTACACTGCAAAGGTCGGACTAAGCGTTGTAAAATGGGATGGTCTAGCCTACAGAGAATTGCTCTTATTGACTAGCAACTGTGACAGCTGACATTCATGTAATGTTTGTACTGGACCTTTTTAAAAGTTATATTCAACAGTCCAAAAACAAAACAGGGTCTTCACAACCTTAAGGCCACGTTCACACAGCAGCAGAATACGGCAGTCATTCCTGTATTTGAGTCCTTAATAAGGTTGCATACACACACAGTATGGTTATTTGTGTGACGGTCAGAAGTGATAACCGCATCCTATAACCAAACTCACACATTTTTTCAGGATTTCTACTGGATTTTTGGGGGAGTTTTGATCTTTTTTTCTTTTTCTTTTGGAAAACCTTAAGTCCGATCAGTTAGAAAACATATAGCAACAAGTTTGAATAGTCTGATGGTCTGATGAGACAACATAATTATAAACTTAAATACAATATTAGTACGACGTTATGAAGTAACAAGCTGCCTAGGCCTTATAAAACACTGCAGAATTACAATTACCAGAAAAGGTTTTCTGTGAGGCCTAGGAATTAAAACTTAAAAAGGAATGGACATTTTGAAGCTTACCTTGCAGCAATAAAAGCTCCCAGGATCATGGTGAATATGGTTGCCTTTATGGACCATGAAAACTCCTTTCTACAAAACAACAAAATCATAAGTCTCACATCTCATAAACCCCAAACTGAGTCAGCTGCAAACACTGAGTACACTAGACATACTTTAGGAGGTAACCCTCAAACAGCATTGTGAATAAAATGGAGAATCTTCTGAGCACAGTAAACATTGGCAGACTGCAAAAGAGTTCATACAGCATGTTATATTATTGTTCATTTATTATATAATAACAACAGCCATGCATTAAAGTTTACAAAAAAATAAAAAATAAATTCTTCTGCATATTACACACTTACTTTAGTTGTTTTGTTCCAAACAGACCTGTTAACTGATTTCCCACATATATTAAAGGGAGTGGCCATACCTACGCAGTAAATATTGAGCTGTAATACTGTAATACTGAACTTACAGTGCGTATACATGAAAACTTAGTATAGTTCAGCCTAGAGTGTGCACAGACCTACCTTATGAGGTACATGCCTATCAAAATCTGGGAAATCTACCACATTTAATGATTTTGCTCCTCGCAGCACAACAACTGTTGCAAACATCTGAAAACAACATAATGATCCTTCATCAGCTGCTGAAATCCTAGAGTTGAATGTACAGCATGTAAAATATCTGTTTAATTAAGAAAATGCTTGACACCACATTGTTTAATACTCCAAACATACATTCTGTATGGTTAGAGGTTGGACAAAATAATGTGAACACCTGGGAAATAGGCAAGAAAGTGTTTTAATACCATTTGCATTTAATACAGCTTCCAACCTTCTTAGTATAGATTCATACAACTTTTGAATAGTCTACAGTGGAATGTCGTCCAACAGAACATCTGCCAGTTATTTCAGAGATGTTGAAGGAGGGCAGCTTCTTCTTACTTTTCCCTCCAAAACTGTCCACAGTGGTTAGTAAATATTCAAGTTGAATAAAAAGGGATTAAGCTAGCTAGGGCACATGTTGAAGTTCATCTTTGTGCTAAAAATATATAAGTTAAATGAAAATGACATCATCTTGTTTCACATTGGGGTCCGTGATTAGTTTTATCAGTTTTTCATGGATTTTGGCTTTGTGAAGTTCTCTATTGTCGGTTTCTGAGGAAACAGGGTTTTCAAAGTTAATATTGAGGTTTGCTGTGACCTTGCTGCAGTAGTTCTGTGTTGTTTGGACACAATCCTTTTTAGTGTTCAACAGTCATTATCATTCACTTTTGGTTTTCGCCCACTATTCTTACTCACCGATGAAGTCTTGCCATGCTTTCTGTATGCAGTCATAATCATAAAGACTGAAACACCAAACAATTGGGCTGTTAATATTATAGCCACTCCTGCTAAACATGCTGTCATGATTTGCATACATTTTTGGAAGTCTGACTTGTGTGTGTGTGTGTGTATATATATATATATATATATATATATATAAACACCGCAATGTAGCCTCTAGTCTATAATAATGGCCATTCACATTATTTCGTCCAAACCCATAAGCCTATATGCGAATAAGGGAATAAGGGATTGTGAAAGCTATGTGATTTATTAGCTATACTATGACCTGAAAGCTATATATGAAACGTATATATATATAAAAAAGAAACGAAAAATATTACATAGCTATGGATAAAGTTCTGATTATCTTTGCAGAAGCTTTAAAATAATTAAATAATTTCAACTCAGATCGATATTTAATCTTCATTTTTTTTATATGGAAAGTGGCTGTAATAGATCTGAGGGGAAACACAGTTTATATATTCTCCCCAAAATAAAAAACAAAATTAAGACATTTTTGCTAACAATATTACGTGTTTATGAAAATGTCAATGCAAAAAAATGTGAGATTCACAGTTAAGACACACTGGAGAACTAGTAAAAAAAATAAAAATAATAACTTCTTACTTGTCCAATTCCCACTGCTAAAAAGGACGGGAATCTGAGGGGAAACACAGTTTATTAAGTACGTAAAATAATAAACATATGAATGGTATGTAGGCTATAGCGCCCATTTAAACAAAACGATTAATAATAATGATGATGATGATGATGATGAATTCAACGTATGAGTGTCTACATAATCTATGCAACTAATATATATGTTTAAAAGATTCAAAATAATAATACAGGAGAGATTACATTAGGAGTAAGACCTTTATTATATATATATAAAAAAAAGAAACGAAAAATATTACATAGCTATGGATAAAGTTCTGATTATCTTTGCAGAAGCTTTAAAATAATTAAATAATTTCAACTCAGATCGATATTTAATCTTCATTTTTTTATATGGAAAGTGGCTGTAATAGATCTGAGGGGAAACACAGTTTATATATTCTCCCCAAAATAAAAAACAAAATTAAGAAATTTTTGCTAACAATATTACGTGTTTATGAAAATGTCAATGCAAAAAAATGTGAGATTCACAGTTAAGACACACTGGAGAACTAGTAAAAAAAATAAAAATAATAACTTCTTACTTGTCCAATTCCCACTGCTAAAAAGGACGGGAATCTGAGGGGAAACACAGTTTATTAAGTACGTAAAATAATAAACATATGAATGGTATGTAGGCTATAGCGCCCATTTAAACAAAACGATTAATAATAATGATGATGATGAATTCAACGTATGAGTGTCTACATAATCTATGCAACTAATATATATGTTTAAAAGATTCAAAATAATAATACAGGAGAGATTACATTAGGAGTAAGACCTTTATTCACGTGTTTGCACATGTGATGACAGCTATTTGACCAGTTAAAGTCATAGCAAAGGTGAATAAGAGTAAATAGACACTATAAGAGTTTAAGTGGTCAGATCTATAGACTGTCACCATACTCAACATCTAGTAATAAAAGCACCTACTGAATATGAATGAGCTAACATAAAATAATTTGGTGATATTAATGCGATTACCTGTAATTAGTAAGCACACTCTTGTTAACGACAACAATAAGGAAAGACGAGAGCCCATAAAAAGCTGCAGCAAATAACTTAACAAATAATGCAGATGTGCCAGTGCCGCCTTCTCGGGAAATATTATCTTTTGCGTTATTCTCAGTTGAACTCACACAGGGACGTGTTCGTATATCCGCCATGTCTACCTAGATGCAGGCGGGTTTCTGGTAAATAGGTCCAATCACTTTTCTGCACAAAAAATCGTTCCCTTTACTTACGTTTTAAAGGGACAGCTGTGTCCCTATTCAGAGACTGCATCCTTGGAAGGCTGTAATCGAAGACCAAATACGTCACAGCGGCGCGACGAGCGTTGTCCCAATGTATGGAAGTCCAACGGAGCCAAAACTCATTAACATGTGAAATTTGACCGTATCAACACACTGCTTGTCCGAGTTAATAGGCTTGTTTGAGATGAGCAAAATCTGCGCAGAACCGATCACCAGTCAGCAAATTTCCTTTAAGTGTGGCCCAGATTAGTTTGTGTTCGTCGGCCCAAAACTGGTCCACATCTTTTTAGCCAGAACTGAATCTAAACAGTACCATAACCCTACCCAGAGTGAGCCAAATAATAAAAACAGATGTGGCTGATATATGGACCTTATATGGTATTCTTATATGGCGGAGTTCTGTAAAGGGCTGACGGCCCTTATGTGGCCCACATGTGGCTGATAAACCAAATGCCATTATTTAACCATATTTACACCACACCTATTTTTATTTATTTTTTAAATACCCATTACACAGTAAATCTTAAACACAAAAATGGATTCACACTCATTTTTAAAAATGTTTATAGTAGAATTTTAATAACAGAAATACAATACAGAACATAACAGAAGTGTGCTATTTTGCAAATGTCATATGAGTGAATAAATGTGCAAAAATGTATACTTTTAGTAAGTCTTGCCAGTCTTTCTCACTCACAGTCTGTCAGGAAAAAGAAGAGAAAAAAAGAACATTAGTATATCATAATTAGTATCATACATTAGATATTATTTCAAGACAAGCACATAATTGACTGTAAATCAGCACTGCACACATTCTTTTCTACCACCCAAGACATGAGTGTTACTGTGTAGCCCTTTTTAAATTAGGACATTTTTAGCTACTATAATAACAGGCTATTTTTAGACATAATACTTAATAATATACATAATATTAATAAAAACATCAGTAGTGTAATTGTACCTCAGTTTTGAAGAAAACATAAATTTGTTTTAAAGGGGTCACATGATGCTGCTAAAAAGAACATTATTTTGTGTATTTGGTGTAGTTTATGCGGTTTAAAGTAAAAACACATTATTTTCAACATTTTCCACATACTGTACATTATTGTTTCTCCTCTATGCCCCGCCTTTTTGAAACATCGGTCTGAAAAAGCGAGGTGTGCTGTGATTGGCCAGCTATCCAGTGCGTTGTGATTGGCCGAATACCTCAAGCGTGAGACGGAAATGTTACGCCCCTCACCATACTGTGATGGCATGTCCCAGCCGGAGCGACGACACAAAAACATTAAAACCCATTACAAACGAGGCATTTGTTGCATCCAGTGGGGACATATTTACTGATTATAATGGCTTATACTGTCTTTTTACGCGTTGCGTTGCATTGCATCATGCATAAACATAAAACCCTGTCTGCATTTGTGATCAGAGAAATGACAAACAAGTGCTACTCCACACTGCCCAAAACTCGCGTTTGAATCATCAGTGGCAAATGATAAAAGAAAACGTACTTACGTGAGTCAGAACTGCCGGCATTTTAGTCTAACGTTACTCTCCCAGGATCAGTAAACAGTCCTCCA